ACTCCTGAATCCCCACTCCTGAATCCCATTTTCCTCAGTCCCATTTGCTTTAGGAACACCACTGATCCCCTTTTCCTTTATTCCATTTTTTCATAGGATCAGTTTAATCCCATTTTTCTTTATCCCACATTCCTTAATCCCATTTTCCATGTGGAACCTCATTTTTATCTCATTTTTATCTCATTTTTATCTCATTTTTATCTCATTTTTATCTCATTTTTATCTCATTTTTATCTCATTTTTCTTTATCCCACATTCTTTAATCCCATTTCTCTCTCTCCCATTTTCCATGTGGGATCCCATTTTTCCCATTTTCCTCATTGGCACCATTTTTATCCCATTTTCCTTTATCCCAAATTCTTTTATCCCATTTTCCTCTATCCCATTTTCCATGTGCTATCGCATATATCCTGTTTTTCTTTTTCCCAAATTCCTTTATCCCATTTTCCATGAGGGACCCCATTTATCCCATTTCCCTTTATCCCAACCACAGGAAAATGGGATTTATGAGGGAAGAGGGGGATTAAAATGGGATTTTTGGAATGAAAATGGGGATAAAATTTGGATTTTTTAGGCAACAGAGGCATAAAAATGGGATTTTTGGTTGGAAAAAAGGGATTTTGGGGGAGAAAAGGGATCAAAATGGGATTTTTGGATGGAAAAGGAGTAGAAGTAGGATTTTTGGTTGGGAAAAGGGGGATTAAAATGGGATTTTTTTATGGAAAAGACATAAAAAGGGAATTTTGCATGGAAAAAAAAGGATTTTGGGGGGCAAGGGATAAAAATGAGATTTTTGGTGGGGAAAAAAGGGATAAAATTGGGATTTTTGGATGGAAAAAAGGGGATTTTGAGAGGGGAGAAGAGGGGTAAAAACGGGACTTTTGGATGGAAAAAAGATAAAAATGAGGGGTTTTGATGGGATTTTGGGATGGAAAAAAGGGGTGAAAATGGGATTTTGGGGTGGAATGAAGGGATCAAAAGGGATTTTTGGATGGAAGAAAAGAGATAAAAATGAGGATTTTTGGATGGAAAAAAGGGGTTTTGGGATGGAGGGAGGGGATTTTGGGATGGAAGGAGGGGTCCATTTTGGGATGGAGGGAGGGATTTTGGGATGGAGGGAGGGATCCATTTGGGGATGCAAGGAGGGATCCAAAGGGATTTTGGGCTGGAAGGAGGGATCCAAAGGGATTTTGGGATGGAAGGAGGGATCCAAAGGGATTTTGGGATGGAAGGAGGGATCCATTTTGGGATGGAAGGAGGGATCCATTTTGGGATGGAAGGAGGGATTTTGGGATGGAAGGAGGGGTCCATTTGGGATGGAAGGAGGGATATTGGGATGGAAGGAGGGATTTTGGGCTGGAAGGAGGGATTTGGGCTGGAAGGAGGGATTTGGGCTGGAAGGAGGGATATTGGGATGGAAGGAGGGATTTTGGGCTGGAAGGAGGGATTTGGGCTGGAAGGAGGGATATTGGGATGGAAGGAGGGATTTTGGGCTGGAAGGAGGGATTTGGGATGGAAGGAGGGATTTTGGGATGGAAGGAGGGATTTTGGGCTGGAAGGAGGGATTTGGGATGGAAGGAGGGATCCATTTTGGGCTGGAAGGAGGGATTTGGGATGGAAGGAGGGATCCATTTTGGGCTGGAAGGAGGGATATTGGGATGGAAGGAGGGGTCCATTTGGGATGGAAGGAGGGATTTGGGCTGGAAGGAGGGATTTGGGCTGGAAGGAGGGGTCCATTTGTGTTTGTGGGCTGAGCTGCTGTCCCTGTGGCAGGAGGGGGACGAGGACATCTACGGCGAGGTGCGGGACGAGGCCTCCGACGATGACCTGGAGGGGGACGAGGCCGTGGTGCGCTGCACCCTGTCAGCCAACGTGAGTGATGGAGGGGGTCCATGGGGAATGGGGGGTCCATGGGCATCCATGGGGATCCATGGGGATGGGGGGTCCATGGGGATCCATGGGGGATCCATGGGGAATGGGGGATCCATGGGGATGGGGGGTCCATGGGGGATCCATGGGGAATGGGGGATCCATGGGGGGTCCATGGGGATGGGGGATCCATGGGGATGGGGGATCCTGGGAATGGGG